ATCTCTCCCTGAAAACTTAACCTTGCACAGCAAGCAGAGGTCAAGCACCTGTTGCAGATTTTCTGGCACATATTTTTCAGTAAGCCTGGTGACACTAGTCTTTCTTTTCCCTATGCAGACGGGACCTATAGACTTGAGCAACTTTTGTTTCCAGGGACCCTGGTAAAACACTTCAGTCAGACAGTCTATAGGCTAGTGGTGTTATCCCTAGTGGTGCTGGTGCCTATAAAGCGGGGTGGGCAAAATGCAAGCTATCATGTACTACATGGATCGTAGAAAACTCAGTGCTGTTATAGACTAGCGTGTACCCCATGCCTAGAACAGATAAGTAAGGTGCATGATACCTAATTACAAATGACCTCACAAAAAAATCATTAGCAAGTACACTGAACCCAGTGGCCAGAGTTTAACTGCGTTTATTATGTGTGTAGAACTACTTGAATCCTGGTTTTACCGTATGGACACAAGAGGGCTCCAGCTACCTTTGTTGGGTCATTTTTTAAAAAAAGGATTCAGGAACTTGCCTTGGAATGCATTGATGCTATTGGTATTCTTAGACAGTGCTCAGAAAAGGATCTTAATGTTGAAAATGTGTTCAGGCACAATTGGGATGTAGAAATGACTGTAAAATTAAGTGTAAAGTATGGGTGGAAGAGGTGGCTAAAGTAGGCCATCATGTGGGAAGCAGCCATGTAGAGCCTGACAGCCTTTGAAGGGTACAGTCATCCAGTTTATAAAACATATACATTTGCAAGAAATAGAATTGGATCTTCCTAAGCTAATGGGAGTGTGTGCTTATGGCTCAAAGTATAGAACTCAGCTAAGCACTCTATTTAAAAAAAATAGTGTGTAAAAGAGAGAGAGAAGGAGAAAAAAGTCCTATTAAAAACATTGCTTTAAGGTAAAGAAAGGATTAGCTCTAGTGAGTTTGGAACTAGAGGCAGATGTGCTAGTACTAAACAGAACATTTCATTAGCTCACTGAGTCTTTGTTGCCTAGGTTGTGTGTGCAATATGTGAAGTAGTTATTGGAAGAGTACTGCAGTAGATGATAGCACATTACCTTTGGCTATTGCATATTTGGCAACGGTTAGACCAGGGCTTCCACCTGGTGGCCCACAAACTACATGCAGCCCCTGAGGGATTAACTTGTGGTCCCTGGACTCCCACTCAGCTACTTCTCCTACAGATGCTGCAGCAGCAGCTGAGGTCTCTGGGTTCTTACTCCCTCCTTTGGCTTCCACTTCCTGCCTTTGCCCCAGGGGGCTGTGTGGCAGGGTCTATGCTACACTGTGGAAGCCTGCAATCAGAGAGCTGAGGCTGAGGATGTGGTGCCTGCAGGCATGGTATAGCAGGAGGAATGCCCAGACAA